ACCACCAACCCCACATGGAAACACATGCCTGAGTTCCAACAGAGTCTGATTGGCCTTGTAAGCCATCTTCAGGCCCACAGATAAAACAGTCATGGAAGACAATCATCCTTGACTGTGAGGGACTGCTGAAGGAGGATGGACCATTGTCTCCCACTTTTCTAAAAGTGCTAAACATTAGGCTACAGGGGCTCGTTCCATTTATGTTAAAATTTTAGTAGTTCAAAATGGTCAAAGAAAAGAATGTGAGAGAGAAAATAAAAGCAATATGCCATTTAGTATGATGGTTGACATATTTGTATAGGAGCTGGTAAATGTGGGTTCAAATCCTTCCAGGCTAAGCGAGAAGTTGAATCTAAATCTCCCATATCCTGTGTGTGACCTAACTCTGGACTCTTGGGTAAAAGGGAGAAACAATACCATATCCTTCTCCTTCTGTTTAAGGAATATTTTTTCATAATTTCCTTGGCTTTGTTTACAAAAACAAACATTTTCTGATGCATCTTGTCACTTTTTGTTTTAGCTGAAACTGCTTGGTGAATTCAGCCCAAATTTGCACCTAGCTCTGAATCTACATTATTCAGTGTACAATTTGCCAAAAATATACCCAGCTTTGTTTTTGAGTTAAACTCCTGCATACTACAAAACATACAGCAATAGTTTTAAAAATGTGTAGAATCAAAATCTCTGCAATTCTCATTTATTCCAGTACAGAACTTGTCCCAATAGGATTAATTTATTTATCCAGATATATTAGCTACTGATGCGCAAGCTAATGTTATTTCAGAATATGTGTGAATGCAATGGAAATTTTACTGTAAGAGGGATTTGCAGCTTTTTGTAGCATGTCATGTCCTTGAATAGGGTGAAAGGAATGCCATTGATGCATTTTTGGCTGAGGTACGTCTTAGCTGTGGTATCTCTTTCCCTTTGCTGACATGCATATTATACGTGATAAAGGTCTCGGCTCTGCTCCCAAATATATTAGCAGCAGTTTCTGGTAATTGGCATCAGTGGGAACAGGACTCAGTCCAGTATGTTTCATTTTGCACTACATTCATTTGGGACCTAACCCCTTTGTGTGAGGAACTGCAGTTTGATAGGTTTCCAGCACTGGAGTTCCTTGATATGCTATCTGGCTGAGTTATGGTAATGACGTCTATGGTATGTTGTATGGGATTATAGCAGAATGTTTTTGATCACTTGCTGAGTCTCTGGTCTGCTGTCATAAATATCTTTCCTTTAAAAATTTTCAGGGGTATAATTGCCACCTCTGAAAAGGCTAGAGAGTTTATTTTGTGTTTAGATTCCAAAAGCAGGAAACAAGTTCTTTGCTCCAGACTCTGTATAGGTTCCAGACTGAAGAATACTGATCATTTAGTTGTCTAGAAAATGATTTGTATTTCTTTCCCTACACACAGTTTCTGTATTATGGGGGAACATTGCTGCTGTAGTGTTTCATAGAAGCTGTAATGTGTTTGTTTCATACATCCTTTCTCTAGAATGCAGCTCCCATGACGCATCACAGTCTCATTATATTATGTGCAGGTACATGGGGGGTACTTGCACATAATATTTCTTGAAAGATATTGTCTGGTTGGGAAATTTGGCTCATAAAGAGGCGTTATGGGGCACCCACATTATACCTCCCATCAAGCACAGGAACAGTACTACTGAACAATTTTTTTTATATATCAAGTGCTTGTTTTCTCATTGAAGTGTCAAATACTGCATTGAAAAAAGTGTGGAAAAATGTATTTGAAAATCCAGTTTTGTGTCATTAACAGTTTTTGTAGAAAATTGTTGGCTAGCTCTATTAACCAGGGGTTTATCTGAAAGTTCTTCTGTGAACTTTTCTAGGCTTGCCTAGAAAACTGCATGTCATAGAGCAAGATTTGATATAAGTTGTTTTGTTCTTTTTTAAATACAGAGATACTCAAAGACCGTTTTCCAAGCATTGTGTACTAGTGGACAGAGCACTGAATCTTTTTCACAACACAAGAAATCTGTTTTCTGGTTCTGTGGACTAGCCTTTTGGGTAGTCTTGGGCAAATCATTTGACCTTTCTGTGGTTCTGTTGTGCCCAGCCTGTGATCATGCAGTGGTCTTTTTTTGTTAATTCCTTTAGATTTTTAATTTAAATCATTACATAAGCTATCAGCACAAAAATATGTCCCAAGACTTGGTTTCACCAAAATTATCTTTTTTTTGTTTATTTTTTTAGGACACTATTTCTTCAGAATTTTGAACAAGCTTGCACCAGACACAGTAGCAAACCGTAGAAAACAACATATCCACTTGTTTAAAGTTCACTGTAGTACATGGGACTGTGTGAGTTATAAGAACAGAATTTGGCCCTGGTTTAGCACTGGAATCTGAAGGTCCGCCACAGTAGTTGAAGAATCCTTTTAGTTAATTTGTTTAAGATTGTGTGGTTTTGAACCATCAATCTTCCCATCTTGGCTGTCCTAAGTCTTTATTGTTGACTGAGTCGCCCACAAGATCTCAGGATGAGGTTTTCATTTGGGCGAAGAGACAGGTCTGAAGTAGAGAGGTAGATTTTGGTCATTAACATAAAGATGGCAGTCAAAACCATATTTGTGGGTGAAGTTGTTCTAATAGGAGGTAGAAAGGGAAAAGGAGATGGCCACAAACAGTGTCTGAAGCAGGGGTGGGCAAAATATGGCCCGCAACCTGGATCTGGCCTGCCAGGGCATTCTAACCAGCCTGTGGGGCACTTAAAAAATTTAGAAAATATTTATCTGCTCCTGGCTGCCCATCAAAGATGACAGGAGCCAGGGACAGTAGGACCCAGGGGGAGCTGGCAGGAACCCATCCCCAGCCATTTCCCTGCCTTCCTGCCCCCACACTTCTCTAGCACCACATGGCTCCTGGCTGTATTGCCGGTTAGGGAGCACAGGGCCTGTGCCAGTACCCCAGGGGTAGGGGGATGTAGGTATGGACTCTATGTGTGAGTGTTTATAGGGTGTCTCACACACACACCCCACCATACACACACACCCATACCTCCCTCACACTATCATACACACAGCCTCCACAAACCCCATACCCCCATATATCCACACATACACCCATATGCTCCTTCACCCCAGCCCTCACACACACCCACAACCTCCCCCACACTCTACATAACCACAGCCCCCCACAAACCTATACCTACCTCTCCAAAAAAATATACAAGAGTAAGACTTCATTTAAGCTGTTATACACAATCACCTCTATGTACACTACACAAACACATGTAAACCAGGACAAAAATATTTTCTGAAATCAAATTAATAAATGTTTTAGGTGTTCACTTTTTAGAATATAATTTGGTATTTTTCTGGTTCTGAGGTGACAAAACCCCTTGCTGAAAGGAGTACTTCTGGGGGCAAGGGGAGGGACTTCTGGTGGCAAAGGTCAGAGGTTAGGGGGCAGGACTTCCCATCACAAGATGGTGACCATGGGGTGGGGCACTTGTCAAAGGGCGGGGCTATCTGTATAGCCCTTGACAGCTTGTCAGAACTAGATCAGTGGCCCTCCACCCAAAATAATTGCCTGCCCCTGGTCTAAAGTGATCCCCATTGAGGTTTGAGAGAGGGCTATTCACTGAGCAAGACTGTGAAGGAATAGTTAGAGAGAGCAGTCTCAAAAGTAAGTTTTGAAAGAACTTAGAATAGTACGGTTGCCAGTTTTACTCCACTGAGTTGCTTCAGTAGAGTACAGGAGATATATACCATGCTGAGATGCATCTTGAATGAAATCATCGGCGGGGGGAGGTCTTGAATAGAATCATGGGAGTGGTATTTAAGATTGCATCTTCAGTTAGGATGGCAATATAGGGTAGAAAGAGGAATGGGGTGATAATTTGAAAGGGAGGTGGGATTATAACTGCATTGTTTAAGATGGTTGAAACCAATGTGTGTGTCCTGAGCTGGAAGGGGTTTATGGGACTTACCTAGTATTTTACCACAATTATTTTCTTTTCTCTTCTGGATCCTGGATATTATAGTATTTATTCAACAGCAGAAAATCTTGTTGTAATATTATGTTGGCTGCTTGTTTTCATTATGACAAAAAGTATTTGCTTTCTGTATCACACTCTTGCTGTTTAAATAATTGCAGTACAGGAACGTGGTATACTAGTGTCCTTGTGCAGCTTCTCCAAGGACAAATATACAAATTTACCTGGCTGTGCCTTAAACTTTATTTTTTTTGTATGTTTCTTGAGAGTCAAGAAAAGAATCAATTAAGGTTAAATTTCCAAAGCAAGCAGTGGGATTAAAATAATAACAGCATTTGAGTTTTGCCTCCTGTTCATGGCTTTGAAAATGTACCCGTTAATGTCACTGGCATATTTTCTTCTTTTCTGCATAAACAATCTTGGGTTGTTCAAAGCTAAGGCTGCCAAAGTTTGGAGAGGTTTACTTTTGAAGGCTTTTAATTCAACTGACAAGAGCAGTCCATTTATCTTGTGACCTATTTATAGCCATCAAACAAAGTGTAGCCAATGGATCTGCTTTACTTAATGTAGTACGGTAGGTAGCAGATTAAGAGCATGGCTAATGTACTCATGAGAGTAGGTGTACATATATGCCTGATACGGTTTGTTGCAGAAATTGGAGTATACTGTCATTTTATCAAATAAAACAGACTTTGCAATCTGTGATGCAAAGAATGAGAAGTTAATGTTCGTTTTTCTGGTCACAGTAAAATGTTGAATGGCCACTTTCAAAAATCTACTAGCCTTTTGAGGGTCAGATGACAAACCTCTTGCTCATGCTGGTGAATTACTGAAGTCAGTGGGGAGTAGCTTGTAACTACTGTGAAGATGGGGTTCTGGTCCTTATTAATTGATTTTTTTTATGTTGAGTTTTCAGCATATATAAAAAAAATAAATAGTGGGCTTATTTTTTCCCAATAGTTAAATGGTATAAGAAACTTTATTTCTAGTGTAAAATTACAGAGCTCTTAATTGAAGTACTGTCTTTGTTTTTCAGGTTGTTTTTGAAGTAGTCACTTCAGGTCACCCTGGGTACCTGGCTATTGATGAGGTGAAGGTTTTAGGACATCCGTGTAGTAAGTGCCTATATGTTATTTGGAGCTATTTTTTTCAAATATATTTGGAACAATATTTGAACATAAATGAAGCACATCAAATATGGAAAAGGTTAACAACAATATTCCACTGCTATAAAAATAGATTAAGTATATAACAGTCTTCGGAAGGTTTGGTATATAATGGTCTGAATTTTAGGTTTCAGTTGGAGAAAATTACATTAAGATACAGATCCAAAAGGGCATTTAGGGGCCTAATTCCCTCTTTCTTCTGAAGCTGTGGCCAATACTTTTCTTCCTGAAAACCTCTTCATCCCTCCCTTTGATTTCATCAGGAGGTTGGGTGCCAAAATATCTTTCTGGGTCTAGCCTCAAGCTCTATCTAATTGTTTGATTCTTTTTTGTCACATGCATTATACGCACAAGTATTCCTGGTGGTTTGCAAACAGGCACAGCATCATTTAAAATAAAATTAGTTTATTGGTTAATTTTAAAATGCCTGATAAAATGGTTTTAGTGCTAGTTGCAGAAAGACGTACGCATTTTTTTTTAACTGTGGAGGTGGTTATGCAGAATCAGCAGCTCTGCTATTTCTGACTTAGTTCTAATAAATATACGTGGTTCTCATGTTGTTAGTATTTGTGCTTAAGCTGCATTTTGAATTTGTATTTGGGATGCAAACAGGCTAAGTCTAAAGTAGTTTTTGTCAGCATAATAATTTAGCCTGCAAAGATTTTGGGGTTTTGATCTGTGCATTTATAGTGATTGATTCTTAAAGCATGCAAGTGATACTTAGTAGTAGGGAGAGTAAAATATACCACATAGTGTGCGAAGGGCCAGCTTAACAGTAAAGGCTGTGTTGAAATGTACTTGCTTTAATGAAACAGTTTTTGGTAAAGTAATTTTAAAGGTGAAGAGTGAATTAAAACATCAAGTCAGTTATGGCATAAACTGGCAAATTGAAAAAAAAAGTGACAGAATTGAGTCAGAATTATTATTTTGTGATGAGGTCTAAAACTTTGCAGGGTGGCTAATTATTCAGATGTTGTACCAGTTCTGTTCAGTGTTACTGGCAGAGAAAATACACTTACAGCCATTAGCTTCAACTTTTTAAACAAAAATGAGAATGCTGGAAAAATATGGTTGGTAAATATGTAAGCCATGACCTGTTTACATTTACTGTGGACTAACAGAGGAAAGTCACAGCTCACATTACAGTGATTTACTATAACATAGAAATGTAGGGCTAGGAGGGACCTCAAAAGATAGTTCAGGCTCTCTAACAAGGATTTCTTGGTGCTTCGGTAGAGCTAATTTGCCAAAGCTGAAGCAAAAATAAAATAAACTGATTGGAAACGAGTTTAAAAGAGAAAAAATTATTGAATGCTGTATAGTTTTATCTTTTTTTCTATTTTCTCTTTTCTTTTTCTCTTCTTTTTCCTTTGAAAAGTCTATGAGCTCACTAACTGGCTATAATTCCACAATCAAGAGAACAAAGGTTGCCTATACACATGCTCAGAGGTGGGGGGGGAGGTGTTTTAATTAGAGCAGTTCCCAGACAGACACTCTAATTAAGATGGTTCACTATCTCATGTATTAAGTCTCCGCACATTTCAAAATGGCCATGGAATGCTTTTTCCAAAGCTCATTCAATTAGGTTTAGATAAAGTACTCCTGCAGCTGTTTTGAAATGCGTGGAAGCTTAATACACGTGACACTGAGGAGGCTGCCGGAGTGTTCTAATTAAAATGGCAATGAGCATGTAAAGGCACCAGCTTTGGCTTATATGCCATCCTGGTTCAGTGGTGAAGAATCCAATGAGAAATAAAAAAGCAGTGGTCTAATAGATTTTGCCATAAGGACATTTTTCATGATGTTCATTCAAATATCTCCAAACCCTTAATTTTATAATCCTTTGTATTGAAGTTTAAACAGTTGCTTCTCTTATAGTTGTTATTCCCCATGTTATACCTATAAAATTCATTTTCTTTTAAAGCAATTAATTTTCATCACTTTAATCACTTATTTGTGGGGCTCTTCTAGGAATTTGTTGAAACATTTCTAGTACTGAGATCTCCAAAACTGAAAGGAGCATTTGAAGCTTGGTTCAGTTCCCATTGTAGACAGTGAAAACATTCCCCTTGATTTCAACAGGACTTGGATTGTTTGAGAATATTGCGTTTCTCAGGGATAATTGTTTAATTTCTGATTTTTTCTGTAATAAAGCTGTTTCTTTCCATTAAAACAAAACCATAAATATGCCACTTTTACCCCATTGGCTGAAATGCACTTAATTCTTCTTTAAACATGTGTTTGATTATGTAACTTTTAAGAGTACAGTCACACTGTTCTTGGTTATTGGGAATGTTCTTGCTACCTAAATTGCAAATAGGATCAGGATGCAGCAGCTACTTTTTGTTTTCCTCAGCTTATTCAAAAGAGCTATCTTTAAAAATATGGCTCATGGTGGTGGGAAATGTTATGCTAGGACTGCAGCACATCAAACAGTCGTGGTATAATGCTTTATCTTCCCACAATGTGTGCACTTAAAAAGAAAAACTTGTTTCCTTGACAACATCATTTAACTTCTTACTGTTCTTGTCTACTTGCTAGTATAAATATCTAATGTGTTTTTGTTCAAAACATCAATTAGTTTTCAACGTAATCTTTATTAATACAGAAGTGTTATTACAAGAGGGCTGCTGAGCTAAAATAATTTGCACAGTAGGAACAATAAGATCACACCCTCCTCTGTTGTATCAGAGACACAAGAGAAAAAGAACATGGCTAACTTAAAACAGGCCTTACAGTACCTTACACAAGTAGAGTTAAATAGTCAAAATCTTTGTCAGTAGGTGTAGTTTTTTCTCCAGTGTAAATATATAACAACAACACTTTAAAACAGTAGCTATAAAATGAACTGGCATGTGTTGACTAGAGTTAGTCACAATCATAAATGGTGTTAATAACTTTTTTTTTCTTTTCTGCATCAGCCAAAACTCCCCATTTCTTGCGTCTTCAGAGTGTGGAAGTCAATGCAGGCCAGTTTGCCACTTTTCAGTGCACTGCAAATGGTAGAACAAACACAGGTGACAGGCTCTGGTTACAGGTAATTATTTTCTTTCTTAGTACACTGAGATGTTTCTGAAAGTGCTATTTAATCACTCTCAAGTATCACACAAGCTGAAACTAATAGGGTTACTTGTGTCATCAATAATGATTTTAATAACAACCCTGTATTGCTACATAGTATTTGTTGTTTTGCAGCATCTGATACTGAAAGATTCTCCTCCCATGTCAATTATGGAGGAGCACAGATAATATAAGAAAGACAATAGTAGCTTTTATGCCATTGCAATTAGGTAGATGATGACTCTTCAAAAGTGGACAGTGCTTTCTGTTGGCACTGTCTATAACAGGGGTTTTCAACCTTTTTTAAGGAGTGTATCCTTTCTGGGTACACTTCTGGCAGAGTGGTGGGGGGGGACGACAAGTGACGGTGGCTGGATATGGAGCGGGGCGGCTTGCACACTGCCGTAGCAGCACAGTTGGTGTGGATGGTGGTGGCTGCATGCAAGCTCCCCCCACGTCCAGCTGGGCAGTGCCTGTGTGACCCACAGAGGGGAGCTGCTTCCTTCCCCCCACAGCCCTGCTTCAGGGAGGTGGCAGCGCAGGGTGGTGTGTGGCAGCACTCTGTCCCTGCCCACCTGTGTGTACCACCTAGCCCCTTTCCAAGTAGCCCCAGTTGACAATCCCTAGTTTTTAACAATCTCTATGATAGTTAGATAGAAATACAGAGAGCAGGTAGTTAGGTAGTCATGAGATTCCAGCGAAGGTCAACTTGTGGATTAAACATTGTCTTAGAGATAGAAAACAGTGGGTATAAATGGGAAGTTTTGGGGATAGGAACAGCAGGGTCCCTTGGAGATCTGTGTTGGAACCAGTGATTTTTAACATGTTCGTAAATGATTTGGTAAAGGGGGTGAAAAGTAGCCAGATTCGTGGATGACACAAAATTACCGAAGTGGTAAAGACCAAGGTGGACTGTGAGGAACTACAGAAGGAACTGGCTTGTTGAGAGTTTGGGCAACTAAATGGCTGATTAAATTCAATGCAGATAAGTGTAAAGTGATGTACAAGGGCAAAAATAACCCAAACTATACCTGCGCTATAATGGGCTCTACATTAGCTGTGACCACAGAGGGAAGAGATCTGAGAGTCACTGTGGACAGTAAAAACATCAGCCTAAGTGCTCAGTAGCCATTAAAAAGGAAACAAAATGTTAGGGATTATTAAGAAGGGAATTGTTAACAAAACAGGAAGTTTTATTATGCCTCTTTATAAAACCATGGGGCATCTCCACCTTGAATACTGTAGCCTGTTCTGGTCTCCATATCTCAAAAATGGTATAGAAGAACTGGAGATACAGAGATGGGCAACAAGGATGGTCAATGGTATTGAGAGGCTTCCATATTAAGAGGGACTAAAGAAGGTAGACCTGTTCAGTTTAGAAAATGACAGTTGAGGAAGGACATGGTACGGATTTACAAAATACTAAATGGTGAAGAGAAAGGAAATAGGGATGTATTATGTACTGGCTCACAACATGAGAATTAGGGGCATAAAGTGAAACTAGTAGGTAGTAAGTTCAAAACTAACAAGAGGATGTTTTTCACACAGCACGTAACGGTTTAAACAGGTTCATAAAGGGATTGGACAGTTTCTTGGTGAAAAGGTGCATCAGTAGCTATTGAGCATGGGAATTAGGATACAACCTCTGAATTACAACTACCTGGACCTTGGGGCAGATAGTCAAAAAGCCTGAGGCAGAATTGATTCAATCTAGGCAGCTTCCTCTAAGCTGCATAGGGTGAACCGATAACCAACTGAACTGACATTCAGTTTTCAGTTGGGAAAGGCAGAGGGAGGCTTGCATTGACCCAGCACATCACCCAAACTGCTGGCCATTGCAGGCGCCTATACATGAGCACAGAGGCTGCTCCAACACACTAGAATTCTAGCATGTTAGAGCAGTCTGCTGGAGCATGGCAATTGTCCAGCAGCCTCCTGTGTCTTATGTATTAGCACCCCCCTGCTTAACAGTGGCAGCAGGGGCACTTGAACTAAAGCTCATTGAACAAGCTTGTGCACATAAAGTGCTTGAAAGGGAGGGTGAACTGGGTGTGACCAGGTCAAACTCATTTTTGGAACAGTTTGCAAGAGGCGCTTCTCAGGGATAGCCCAGGGCAGCCTCAAGGAGCAGAGGGAAATTCTTCCACTCCCCTGCAGCTAGTTTTACCTCAGTCTCACAGCAGCTGAGGCAAAACCAGCTGTGGAGGAGTAGGAGAATTTCCTTCTGCTCTCTAAGGCTGCCTGAGACTCTTAGGGGCTAAGGCAAGTAGCTGTGGGGTTCAGGAGGGGAATAATTCCCCTCAGCCTCCTGGGGCTGCCTGGGGCTGGGGACCCTGGGCTTGGGGTGAGGGGAAGTCCCCCAAGGCAGGGGCTTCCCAGTGCCACCTTGCTGGGCTGCATGGGCAGGCACTTGGATGAGAGGACTTCTTCTCCCGCCTTCCTGTGGCAATTGCTGAAGCAACCAGCAGCTGGGAAGTGGGAGGGAGAAGGACGGCTGAGGGTCAAAAAGCCCCCTATCACAGAGGCTTTCCCTTCCCTCATGTGCTATGTAGACCCTGGCTAAGGGCAAAACTAATTGCAGGGGTGTCTGTTCCCCTGTCATGTGTCCCCCACCCCTCCTGGTCTCTATGGGCTGATGGATGCAGGCAGGAAGCAGTCCCTGCACCACTGGAGCAGACAGCGTAGCCCAGGGCTGCAAAGCATCCTGGGGTGGTGGGGGACTGTGAGTTAACTTGAACCAGGAAGGGATCTGGGACAGAAGTTCCATAAACTGGTTTAACTTAAATCAGTTAAGTCTAATCCAACCAGGTTTATCTTGAACCAGTTTGGGCTATTTTGAAAGCAGCTTACATGCACTGAACTTCTGTTCCATTACAGGTTTAAACCAGGTGCCAATCACTTAAACTAGTTTATGTGTAACTTCTGTCCCTAGCCTAAATGCCAGAGGCTGCAAGTGAGAGGGGAAGAGTGAAAAAAACCCTGGTCATAGCCAGTTCAGTCTACCTTTCAGCATCTACGCTTTGCTACTGTGTGACACAGGACACTGGACAAGATGGTCTGATGCAGTAAATAGCAATTCTTTATGTTCTTATGAGTAGGAAGGGGAAGGATAGGAAGAACTGAAACTTTCGTAGATGGGTAGGGGATATATATGAACTGTGTGTGTGGTGCTTTTGTTCAAACCATTATAAGTCTTTTAAGTTGTGTACCTTTAATTTAACACTTGCATCAAGGGTATGAGCATTTCAGAAATGTGAGAGAGATGGGATCACAAATGAGCAAAAAATCCTCTAGTTTCAATACAGAGTTTTTCTGCATATAAATAATGAATAATAATAATAAACTAATAAATAACTAATAATACTCATCTGCTCAGAACCCAGTATGATAGCCATAGAAACTAGTGAAGCTGTTTTAATTCACTTTATAAAGTATTGGAACGGGGTCCAAGGGCAAAATACAATCTGTACTAAAGGTCCTGTGTATTTTGTTTTACACTGTTGACAACAAAATCAAATGCAGCAAAGACAGATGTAAGATACCACATCTAAGGAAGAAAAAAATAAATGCATAAATACAGAATGGGAGATAATTAGCTAAGCAGTCCCAGGAATCCTCCTGCCAAGAAATATTCACAGCAGTGTGATACAATTGCAAACAAAAGTAAATGCAGTTTTGGGCTGCATTAAAACAGTTCTGTAGGTAAGACACAGCAGGTGACAATACCACTCTCTCCAGTACTGGTTAGGTCTGAGCTAGACTATTAAATGCAGTTCTGGGCTCAACACTTGACGGATATGAGAAAGATGTAGAGAAATTGCAGAAAGTCTGGAGTTGAGTGACAAATATGATACAATAAAAACCATACCAGGAAACAAGTGAAAGGACTGGGTGTGTTTAGTTTGGAGAAAGAGGAGATGGAAGGGGGAGGGGAGACAGTTGGGGGACATGATAGCAGTTTTCAAATACTTGAAAGCTGCCATAGAGGATGGGAGAGTAACTCTTCTCCCTTGTTGCAGAGAGCTGAACATAAACTAACCAACTTAAGGTGCAGCAAAGCAGATTCAAATTAAATATCAGAAAAAATGCAACTTCCTCATCATCAGAACAGAAGGATAAAGGCATAACATGTTCAGGGAAACTGTGGAATCTCCTTCATTGCAGGTTTTCAAAAAGAGACTGAATAGGGATTTTTCATGGACAGTTTAGGAATAGCACATCCTACATTTGTGCAAAGGGTAAACTAATTGCCCTTCAGGTCCCTTTCAGCCCTATGATTATAGCGTACTTACATTTTTTAGTAATTTTAATTTGTTAAATTAAGTAGTTTTATGTGGTTTTGTCTGAGTAATGTGAAAAACATGCATGCTTGTTTAGGCCTTGTTTATTGTTTTTCAGGATTTAAGTATTGTCGAGCTGTGTCTTAATCCCCAGTCCTAGAGTCAAGTGATTTGTATGATTAAATCAGCTTGTCAGTCTTAATTAAACCTTATGGTTCTGAAAAGCAGTTTGAAAACATTACCTGACTGTGACTGATACCATGATGTCTGCCTCAGTTGACTGAGGCTGAAAATAAAGCTTTATGAAATGTAAACTGTCCAAACTGCCCAAACTCATCCCTTTAGGGGAAGGACCCGCGGTGCGGGGTGGGGGGTAAGGGGGTAAGGGGACTCCTGGCAGATACCTGCACCAGAGGACTGTGTGGGTAGGTCCAGCCCTCTCACCCAGACATGGACACTCCAAACTGTGGAGTAAGCAGTTAGGTGTATTCTCTGCTGTCTTCTCTGTGCCTCTAGAACAGAGATAGGCAATTATTTCAGGTGGATGGCTGCTTACCGAGTTTTGGCAAGCTATCAAGGGCCACATGGGCAGCCCTGCCCCTTAACAGGTGCCCCATCCCCTGGTTGCCTTCTTGGGACTGGAAGTCCCGCCCCCTAACCCCTGACTTGCCACTAGAAGTCCCTCCCCTTGCCCCCT